GTGGGTGTGTGTGGGTGTGTGTGTGTATGTCTATGTGTGTAAATGTAAGTGTGCATGCATGTGTGTATATGAATGTATGAGTGTATATGTATATGTGCGTGTATATATAATATAATTGTGTGTGTATTTCAAGGGGTGTAAATGTAAGTGTGCGTATGTGTTTGTATATTAATGTATGTGTGTATAATGATGCTTGTAAATGTGTAAGTTTGCGTGTGTTATCCCCGCCTCAGTTACATAGAGGGGGTGTATGCTATGTTTGTGTATATATACATGTCTACTGTCTACGTGTGTATATGTCTATGTGTGTACATGTATGTATGTGTATATTGCTTATGCGTGTATATGTCTATGAGTGTACATGTATGTATGTGTATATTGCTTATGCGTGTATATGTCTATGTGTGTACATGTATGTATGTGTATATTGCTTATGTGTGTATTATGTCTATGTGTGTACATGTATGTATGTGTATATTGCTTATGTGTGTATTATGTCTATGTGTGTACATGTATGTATGTGTATATTCTTTATATGCGTATTATGTCTATGTATGTACATGTTTGTAAATGTGTATATTGCTTACGTGTGTATATGTCTATGTATGTACATGTTTGTAAATGTGTATATTGCTTATGTGTGTACATGTATGTTGTGTATATTGCGTATGTGAGCACATGTTTATATGTGAATATTGTTTATATGTGTATATGTCTATGTGTGTACATGTATGTATTGCTTATGCGTGTTATCCCCGCCTCAGGTACGCAGAGGGAGTGCATGCTATATTTGTGTATATATACACGTTTGCGTGTGTCTATGTCTATGTGTGTACATGTATGTATGGCTTATGCGTGTTATCCCCGCCTCAGGTACACAGAGGGAGTGCATGCTATATTTGTATATATATACACGTTTACGTGTGTCTATGTCTATGTGTGTACATGTAGGTATGTATATATTGCTTAGGTGAGTAAATGTATGTATGTGTATATTGCTTAGGTGAGTAAATGTATGTATGTGTATATTGCTTAGGTGAGTACATGTATGTATATATATGTATTGCTTATGTGTGTATATCATGTAGGTATGTGTATATGTCTATGTGTGTACATGCATGTATATATGTATTGCTTATGTGTGTTTATGTAGGTATGTGTATATGTCTATGTGTGTACATGTATGTATGTGTATATTGCTTATGTGTGTAAGCCTGCGTGTGTTATCCACGCCTCAGGTACACTGAGGGAGTGTATGCTATGTTTGTGTATGTATGCGTTTCTACCTATATGTGTATATGTCTATGTGTGTACATGTATGTGTGTGTGTATTGATTATGTGTGTATATGTCTATGAGGGTACATGTATGTATGTGTGTATTGCTTATGTGTGTATATGTCTATGTGTGTACATGTATGTATGTGTGTATTGCTTATGTGTGTATATGTCTGTGTAAGCACATGTATGCATGTGTGTATTGCTTACGCGTGTAACTCTGCGTGTGTTATCCCCGCCACAGGTACACAGGAAGCACCCCAGCTGGACAAGTGCCCAGACTCTGCAAGGTACCCGGATCTATCTAGCTATCAGTCTGTGTGAAGATGTGGGATATTCTGTTCTGTTCTTCCTTCTTCTCTCTGTCTCTGTCTGTCTGTCTGTCTATCTGTCTGTCTGTCTGTCTGTCTGTC